GAATAGTGCATATTAAGAAAAAATAATTTTATATTCTTTCTCATCAACTTTTTTTGAAATTTAATTTAACGTTTTAAAGAGAATTCAAAAATTTTTACAATATTTTTCTGTAAGATGGTAAATTAAATTTGAAAAAAATCAAAATTGATAAGAAAAAATATAAAATTACTTTATTAAAAATATTTTCTTAATACGCATTATACAATCATTTCTAGAATTAGTAGCTTGTAGATCAGGCGAAATATCAGAATTATTTAAAAAGTTAGCAACGGAGAGATGTTCGTAATATTAATATAATCTAGAAAAAAAACCATAGTGAGATAAGGTAAAAAACTGAAATAAGTAAATTTAACAAGAAAAAGAAATATTTACAATTACCAAAAAGACTATTAAATAACTGAAATAATTATATTAAATATTTCAAGTTTCAATTATATGATTAACTTCTCAATCATTAAACGTTAATTGAATAGAGTGTGCTGAATCAGGGCTGCCATACGTACCACATTTAAGCATTTTGTACCACCAAAAAGTCTGTACCCCTGGGTGTGGGTGTGGGTGGGGATGTGGGTGTCGATCTGTTATTCATCCACACCAACCCACACCCACACCCACACCCACACCCGCACCCACATTCACACCCCGCATTCTGGACCCCACTCACTCACACCCTCAAAAAGTTAATCCACTGTCTTATCCTTCGGATCTTTATTAATTGTTCTTCAACGCAGCATATAACTAAGAAGTTCACACAAGAATTTTCCAGTGTCCATCTTAGTTCGTAACACAAGCATAGATCCAGCATGGAATGCTGAGACCGCCAGTAAGACAGCATAAGAGACAACAGAGGCAATGATTTGTTTCTCTTCGTACAATAATTTGTTGTAGTTGTTGTTGCTGCTGTTGTTGTTGTTGCTGCATGTTGATAATAACTGGACCTTGTTGGGATGGTGGTGGATATCCATAGTAAGAAACATACGGTGCTCCCGCTACAGGCCCATAGGTTGGTGGTGGTTGCTGTGGATAAGCGGGTGGTCCTTCTATGTTTGCCATTGCTATAGAGTCAAGCAGTCAAAGAGCCCAAGCGAAGACTCCTGTAGAATAATCTGCAAAATCTAAAAAGAGTAAAATCTCAAGCGTTCTAAAAAAGGCAGGAGAATTTTTATAATATTGGTCAAAGATACAACTAACACTGGAAGAATGAAGGTATACGTCCAGATTTTGTAAAACACAATTAGTAATGAGTATTGAAGTACATAGTGAGAAACTTGTTTAATTTCCCTCCGTCGACAGTGAGGGGCGCGTCTTTTTTTACACCAACTACAAACTACAAAGAGGAAGGCTATAAGGCGGTAAGACGATAAGGCAGTAAAGCTATAGAGGAGTAGGGCAGTAATGGGTAAGGTTATAAATGCGTCAGGCAATAAGGGAGTAATGCTATTAAGGGGTAAGGCTCTAAGAGGGTAAGACAATAAGGAGGTAAGGCGATAAGGAAGGAACACTATAAGGCGGAGACGTTCTAAGGGAGTTAGACTACAAGCGGTAAGGCTATAAGCGGGTAAGGCTACATCGGCTATTAGTGATATAAGGGTACTATATCGTAAGGCTTCTATGCACATAATGTCGAGTGTTTGTGCATCTGCTACCGAGTGAAACGTTGAAGTTTTGAGGTCGTACACTAAAGAAAAAAATTTCGCCGTGCAGTATGTACGGGTTCTCGCTAGTTTTAGTATATATGTCAGGCACTAGCTTGGCGACAGCCTAAGGATTTCTTGCCATGGAGAATCCAAAATAATTATGGGAAAACTAGGGTTTCGCGTTAGGATCTCGGCAAAAGCGCCTATTTTCGAGGCTTATGATTAAAATCGATTATCTAGTAAGTAAAGATTAAAATCAGAAAACAGGTAAGGGTGGATTAAAATCGGAAAACAGGTAAAGATAGATATAAAATGCATTAGGAAATAATAATACATGAAAATTGACCGAAAAGTAGCCATGCAAGGAACTGAGAGCAACTCGAGTTTAATTGATTTTGATAAATTTTTTATATATAATCGATTAAAATCTGATTTTTTTTCTAATTTTTTCTTTTACATGGGATATACATGAATGAACATGAACCATCTAATTATTTTTGCTCTTTGGTGAAACACAGTTAGGAATGTGTTGAAGTGTATAGGAAGAAATGTGGATCTCTCCTTTCTACTCAGACCGTTACAGATGTGTTGAAAAATTCGATACACTCTGTGACATTTAATAGGAGTTTTTGGTACGCCTGTAATGTCAGTTATGTATTTTCTTCGCTGAATTGTTGAGTTTTCAAAAGAGTTGTGATAAACCTAGAGATATTCCTCGGTTATGGTGAAAGCAGTAGTATAGCGCTTAATAAATGTATTCCAAACAAAATAAGGAAATAGTTTTTCATGTATATTCATCTTTTAAGCTAGGCGGGAGCTCTGGGTATTTTCTTAATCTATCAAATAATTCACATACACCCAGCTTGATAGTTCTGCAAAGCACGTGTTACATTTCTAGCCGTACTCGGAAACTAAAACGTTTCTGCATCGACTACCAAACTGTTTTCAGTTCAATATAGCATGTGCATTTTTATAGACTAGCTGAACACTGATACATTTATAATGCAATTCCTACTTCCACCTAACGCTTTTTCAATTTTGTAAAATTCACTATGAAAATAGTAAATGTAAGATTTTATTTATGATTATCTGCTTTCCTACTGATACCTTCCAAAATTGAACGGAAATAATCGAGAACAAAGTCATTAGAAAAAACTGAACTAAAATTAGGACTGATTAACAGCAGCAGAATAACGATTGAAGGAAACCTCCTAGACGATAATAGAATTGAGAAAATATTCGAAATCAAATGAGAGAATGAAACTGTTATAGAAACGTTTCTCGGATCAATGTCACTCTTAAATATTTTTTTGTTAGCGATGAAAACGATGCAGAATCGGCCAATCATAATGCAGATTCTGCATTGTTTAGGAAAGCTAGTCATTTTTAGTGTGAAATTCTGTGTATATAGGTACTTTGTAGCACAAAAAAAAATGCAAAAACTGATCCTATTTTCAGTAGAACATACGTCCCATGAGAGAAAAGTGGGAGGGGAATCAGATTATAATTGACTAATTTTTTTGTTTATAATCGATTAAAATCACGCTCAATCGATTATAAACAATAAAACATTGACCTGTTACTATTAACCGAATAAAATTCATTCGATTTGATGCAAATCAATTATAAATCTATTCGACAAAGAGTAGGAATGTTAAGTACCAGTCGAATCTATGGAACCTCATCATCTGACTTTCGTAGAGTGCACTTCTCATGCTTCGTCTTTCCTCTGTTCACTTGGGTGTTTGCGGTGTTCCCACTCTTCACAGAATGTCAACATAATTACATAGATCATTTCTATATCACTTGTCTGAAGCGGGTATTACACGGTCAGCCATTTTTTTTTGAGTTTGTCTACAATGGAATTCCTCTTAGCAATAGGCGTACCAAATATTGGCAAAAATACACTAGAGCTCTAGTGAATACGAAAGATGGTGAATTATTGAGAGGACAATTGTTCCTTAATCTACAAAGTTCAGGGTGGTTAAGCGGTAAAAAACAGAATTAAACGATTGAGAAGGTCCAAACGGTTTAGTCAGCATACAACCGTTCTTGAGGAATGTTTGGATCAGAATCCATTAATAAATGCAATAATACAGTTTCCACAATAAGATATTGATCTGTTAGAAGAATTCCCAGAAACCTTTTGAAGTTCCAGGTAGACTTGGTATATTCCATTTTCCTCATTACTCATTCTCCGATTATGATTAAAACACGTCGTTGTTGTTCTGTATCTAGTTTTGTTGTTCACGCGAACTGATCTATCTTTTGCTCGTGCTATCTAGTTGTTATTGGTTTAAGTACTGTGGTTCTCATTTTTATATATATAATTTCTCCTTATTCTATTTTTTTCTTACGTTTACGTTTACTTCTTGTTGTGTTTCTTCTCGCTTTCTTTTATTTTTGTTATTACCCATGTAGCCGACTTTTGCATTATCATGTAATTATTGCCATTATAATGCATTATTGCAAATGATGCATTATAATGGCAATAAATACATAATAATGCAACAGTCGGCTACATGGATATCATCTATTTGTTCACTTCCTTTCTGCCTCCTTCCATATACTCTTCATCCATCTACTTTTTTTTAATATACTCTTCTTTCTTTCTTTCTTTTTTTTTTACACATTGATGTATCAGGGTGACCTTCTCTTTGTACTACTAGGCCTATTCGGGCACAGATTCTCTCAACTGCTTAATAAAAAAAAATTATAAATCTAATAAACGTCAATAACAGGTGCGGGGTTCTAATCCTCTAATAATCGCTCAGGAACCGACTCATAAATAATTAGGGGCTGATTATGAATCGAATCAGAATTGACTAAAATTCTTAGCAACTAATTAAAATCACTAGTGTAATGAGTTTGATACGCACTTCCATTATTTCTACCGACTTTGATAATTTTTTGAATAACTATTGCATTCAAATGAACGCAGATAAACAACTGAAAATTTGCCATTGAAAAAAAATCTGATAATTATTCTTTCATTCAAGAAAGAAAAAAACAGTCAAATGAGAGGACCTTCAACAAAACTAAATTGATTCAAATTAATTTCCTAAGAGACGATAAAAAAGTTCATAACGATTCTTTCAACACAAAAGAACTCATTTAAGTTATTTTCTAATAAAGAAAAAAAAATAGTTGAAAAGTGTTCTCTCAGAAAAGCAATAATTTATTTTTATTTTCATCTTTCAATGCAAAAACACACTGGAAACTATTCTTTAAGGAAGAGAAAAGTTTTTATTCAAATGTCTTTCTCATAAAGAAGAAAAGACAATTCAAAAAGTAGTCCTCTCAGTAAAATATAATGAGTGACGTAAAATTTTCGGGGAAAATACCGCTTCATTTTCCATCGGTTACAATATGTTTTGTAAAAGTGACAAATACTTATTCGGAATATATGTTGAAAGTGCTCTCTAACTGTGTGTTCAAAAAATTTCTATCATATTCTGCTTTTAAGTAACGACCACGTCCTTAGATGACACTAAAATATACTTTGTAAAAAGCAACTCATAATGAATGTGGTAAAAGGAATTAATATTTCAGTATTTTTCGAATATCTCCTATGCATTTCATCATATATTAGTGCTTTTTTTTCAAATCTTGTGAAATTCGCAAATAGATCTTTTTCATTTTGAACGATCGTTTTACTATATGAATAATTATTTTCAATGTGTAGAAAGTATCGACTTGTTCATTATTAGCTTTAACGAAAAGTTTTCTCATATAAACTTGTTAATCTTAGCTACTTCGAAATGTGTATTACAAAGTTATTATTTTTGTATTTTTTTACGGTGATCTGAATAATTTGATGTGTTTCTCGTCAACAACTTATGATGTTACATATCATTATGACGATTGCATGTACCACTTTTTTTTGCGTAAGACACATCTCAAAAAGTTAACTTTAAATCCTTGTTATCGCTGGCAATATCGGCGGGTCGTTGATGGCATACGTCTTCATAACCCAGGCGAGTAAAGGACGGGTAAAAAGACTAGTGATTTCTCTAGTCGTGACTATGCGTCATGTCTAGTCTTTTTCTCAAAAAGTCCTACTACATGACTAGTCCAAAATGGTTTGGAATCTTTAACCCCGTCTGGGCATCCCGTCCAAAAATAGATTTTAAATTAAAAAAGGCAGAGCGCCTGTGACGCGACATCTATTAGGTTTCAGTCTTATGTAGCAGTCTAGTTCGGACTAGTCTAAATGATAGAAATATATGCAGAAAGTTAGATTCGTACATCCATGCCATGTGTTACTTACTCGTCGTGCACCCGATTGAGCCATATGATTCAGTCATCAACTCGTACATGTCAATACACATCTGAAGACATTAATTACTACAGTTTGACTCAGCGTTTTCTCAAGTTTTAATATGTATAAAAACTACTTGTAATAAATTGAAAATTAGTTAAATAAAGCTAAGTAAAATTAATTCAGAAGGGTGAGGGTGTGGGTGCGGATCGAAGGAACAATTATACCCACACTCATGCACACCCACACCCACACTCATCTCTCCACGATTGAATATGGTAAAGATGAAAACAAAATAAAAAGCGAGTTGAAATTTACGATACACCCTTTAGATCAAATTTCATCACACAATTTAACATGTTCTATTACTAGTTAATATGCTTGTCTTACTGGTATGTCTCTTTTTTCTTTTAGTAATTTGACTAATATACAAACGATCATTAAAAAAAGGAATAGCTCGTTGACATCTGTTATTTTCTATGTTTATTTTATATGATAAATTGTATTCTATTGTGAAATGAATATTAATAATGCAGAACAAAAAAAAGAAATGAAGTTTATCAGCTATCAGATTTCATATCCGTTTGTCAATTATAATTTCTCTCGATAATTAATTAGAAAAACTTTCTATTGAATCATCCATATTTTCAAGCCATGGTTTGTAAACTTGGATAAGTTTTGTGTTTTCCGTACTGGCAATAGATTCGTAGGATATATCACGATAACCCAATATATCAACTAATTTATTTTCGAAAAATTTTTTTAGCAACTTTTGAGCTTTATCGAAATCAAAATTTGATACAGGTTGATTCCCATCATGTGTATGTAATAAAGCAAGCATATCACGCATATAATCAAGTTCTAAATCAACCCAAACGAAAATATGGAAAGGTACCATCGCTTTTTCTCGTTTTTTCCATTCATTTAGATCAGCTTGCCATTGATCTTTCTCAGGAAATTTAACATTACCAAGAAAGACATCACGTACAAGTGCTGTTTGTAGCTCGAACAAAGGGAATGTATAGAGGTACCTTGTAGCACCTAAATAGGCGAGATATGGTTGATCAATCCAAAAGATGCTTTTGTAAAGACTCGGCGGAATGATTTCACCTACATCACAATGTAAACGAAATCGTTTGGCCATAAATGGATAATAATGACGATAGCCAGTACAAAAGATAATAGCATCGATATTATCAACACTTGAACCATCTTTGAAATGAGCCTGTCGACCTTCCATACGAACTAATATAGGTGCAGTTTTAATTTCAGCTGGCCATGTATAACCAATAGGTTCCTGACGAGAACTGATTATCACTGATTGTGCACCGAATTTGTAACATTCGGATGCGATATCTTCGGCAGAAATGCTACCACCAATAATTAACAGATTTAGGCCCACAAATTCATCCGCACCACGAAATTCATGTGAATGAAGGACCCGACCCGGAAATTAATTTACTCCATCGATATTGATCATGTTTGGCACATGATAGTGCCCAACTGCTACAATGACTCGATCAAATGACAAACATTCTGTTGAGCCAGTATTCAGATTTTCAACCTCGACATTAAATTCATTTTTGTCATCATCGAAATCAACATGACGAACAGCTGTGTTAAAACGAATGTGTTGTCGAAGATTGTTAGCTTCAACTCTACCAGTTAAATAATCGTAAATGAGAGCACGCGGTAAGAACGATGGAAGAAAATAACCAAAATGATAATAGAATGTGTATTCAGGATATTCAATGAGTTCTTTCGGAGTATTCGACCAAAGACTAAGTAAATATGTATAAAAAAAATATTAGAATATAAAATTGTTGGAAAGTAATTTCGTTTGGTAACCGACATTTATTTCAATTATATAATTCAAATAAAACTGCGAACTTCAGATTCTCTTCAGCACATCATGTGTGTTTTATTTTTGATTGGACAAAACAGGATTCTGAATTAGAATTCCAAGAGAACATTCTTGCGAACTTCAATGGTTAACGTTCAACTTTTATAGAAAATATAAACTTCCACAGAAGTAACTGAAAATGAGATAGAGTTTAGTTTTTGTAATGTCTTTCGACCTGACGAAGAACATCAACTTATTGTCTAAAGTCCACGTTATATTCACTATCGATACATGCTCGAATGAACTGGTTCACCATGAGCATCTATACCAATCTGATTGTCTTTCAAAGCAGACAAGTTCGATTCGTTCTTCTTGTTCAGCTTGTTTAAATGCTAATAATTGTGAAAGACCACTTGGACCAGCACCAATAATTGCAATACGTAGTTTACTCATTAAGTTGATTTAAAAATAATCTAGATATACAAATTTATCTGAAGTAATTATGTAGAAATATTAATAAAAGAAAAATCGCTTGGCATTTATAGTAATTTTGTTATCAATGCTTCTGTTTCTTTTTCGCATAAAATATGTACTATATAAAGAACATTACTAAACTCCTCCCCACAATAGAAGGCCATCCTGAGTAGGGAGTGGGAAAAATGCGTGGTGTCACGATTTTTCATAATAGAAGGTCATGGCCTTCTATTCTAAGAAGGACTTTACGATTATACACGTAAAAAAGTAAAATGAATGTGATACTCAAACAAAAGGAATAGGTAAGTAAGGTGGCGATTTGTTTTGTTGCATTTAAAACACTTATTACTCTCTTTTCTGTTCTGCTGTAAGTACCTTTATATAGGCCTCACATGTTGATAAGAAAGGCACATCAACCAAACGAACGTGTATTATTCTGTTCTTTATCTTGAATTCGATTATCTCATTGTATGGCATTTTTAAATATTGGTGTCGTGCCGAAGTTACGCTGTTCGCCGAAGTTATAACGTCAGCAGCAAATTTTGTCGAAGTTATTTTAGATCAATTAAATATTAAATAATTATCCAACAATCGATGATATCATGGCAAATATGAATATTTAGAGTAGATTTTACGGTTTAATATCATACGTATAGTTTTTTAAAAATCAATGAATTATTTAGAGATTATGCACAAGAATTGAACTTTTCACTTCATTGACACTTTGAAGGAGTATTGTTTAACTCAGACTAAACTAAGTTTTATATTTGATGAAGGGTCTCTAGCAGAGCTGGGCAAGTATGGGTGTGGGGGTGGGTGTGCTTGTGTGTATGGATGTGGGTGTGGATGTGAGTGTGGGCGTGGGATACAGGGTGTGGGTGTGGGTATGGGGTGTGGGTGCGGGTATGGGGTGTGGGTGTGGGTATGGGATGTGGGTATGGGGTGTGGGCGTGTGGGGTGTGGAAGTGGGTGTGCGTGTGTGTATGGGTGTGGGTGTGGGTATGGGGTGTGGGTGTGCGGACGTGTGGTTGCGGGTGTAGGTGCACGGATGTGTGGTTGCGGGCCTAGGAGTGAGTATCAGTTTTCTCCACACCCACAACCTTAGCTCATTTCATAGTCTTCGACGCTATACGCAATATATAGGGATGACCAATCCATGAGATATCCCAACTCTGATTTTTTCTCGTGCATGTAGCGTCTATAATATATCATGAAAATATGATTATTTTGCCGGTTATAGTGCTCATACAATGCTGTTGATCTGCCAAAACTAGGGACTGTATATCTTGTTTAAAATCAAAATAATCAAATATCCTCCAAAAGTCTTTTGGTATTTACGAACAGGTTTTTTGAAGACACTTGGTTATTTTGGACTCGAACAAGACATAGACTCCTTCTCCTTGGCAAATTATCAGCATTATAGGATTGCTATAACCGGTAGAAAAATTATCTTTTTCTGATATATTATAGGAGCAACATGTACAAAAAAGCCAGAGTTGTCATATCTCACGGACTGGCCACGTACATGAGTGTCCTGACTGTAATGTACCACTATATGTTGTTAATTGCTTCAAAGACTATCATACAAATGTGATCAATTAATGTATTTTTAACATAAACATGTAATTTCTTTGCGAAAAAAAATAAAAGTCATATTTAAAAATTACTTTTGAAAAGTTTGGTTTTTGCAAAAAAAGCCGGGTACCAAAGGATTAATAAGCATCGGTTTTCGTGATGGAAATAGACTGGAAAAAAATCGCTGCATAAATTCCTGAGAGCATTGATGGTGTAGCATCAGCATGTGAAAAACAATAAAATGTTGAATCACTTATCTATGAGTGTAGTTTCGTTCACCATTCATATATACTCCCGTACACTCACACTCACACTCTTAGTGCATATAAACAGTACCTGTCACTCAATATAGTCGAGTTTTAATCCTATATAACTCGAGAAAAGGATCTTTAGGAAATATAAATAATATGTAGTTTTGTAGGATGATCCGAGAGATCGTCGCGGACAATTCGTCACAGGACTATTCGTTGCATGAACAATTCCTTGCAATAACATAAACCAATCAAAATTAGTATCTATATTTCAACAGTCAAACAACTTATTCGACTAAGTTTGACGCATGTAATTCAATGACCATAAGAATTACTAGAAATACAACCAATGACTAAACTTCGATTTTTTGATTTCGGCATGTCGACTACAAAGAATCCTAGCAAGAAAAAAAGTCCACTTGGTCTCCTCCATAATTAATATCAATAGGATATCAAAAATCTTCGATTACAATTTATCATCAGGCTTATTCCTCACATTGTATGAATCAATAACTCAATTCGATTAGTTTTATATATATACATATACAATAGTTTTCAAAAAAACTTGGAACAAATGTTTAGCTTGTATCAGACACTAGTTCAACTTCTGTCAAGAAAAGTATTTCTCTATTAAAAGAATATTAGTTGCTAGTTTTAGAACATCCGATTCGAAGTTTGATTCATCTTCCTTTTAATTCCAGAACTGTGAGATATGTGGGTTGTAGGCTATTAATAAAATTAATTACAATTTTTTCAACATCAATTGAAACAACACAATTAGGGTGAATTTATGCTATTAAAAAAATAAAACTAAACCTTCTACAACAGTATTCGAGCGATTCTTTAAGTATCACTAAATTATTTCGTCAAAAGCATGGACCTGGTTTTAAGCATTATTCGAAATGAATAATTTGTTTTCGATTGTTTGATGCTCGGTATTTTAGAAGCCTTTAGGATCTAAGCCTTTCAAATGAGGAACTAATTCTATATAACAGTATCTTCATCTATCGATGGAGTTTTCTAACAGAGCGAATTCTCATGTTTTAATAATATAATGCAGACGTATCATTCGCTTTGAGACTATGTGCCATTGTCATCTTAGATTAGTATCACACTAGAATAAAATAGAATCGGATCAAATATATAGATATTATTCGTGGCTAATCTGCTTAGTATAAACCTGCACTAATTGTAAAACAAAGATTCGATAGGGTTTAGAAAGTATTACATGTTTATATAGTAAGACTTTTCCATGTTTTTTTTTGCAAACTATTGTTTATATGTATACAATAACAGGCGATGCTCTCTAAAATAGTTGAATTTGTACATCAAACGTGAAGATTTGAAACTAGAAATTTGTTAAAAGTTTTGATGACATCAATGTTGGTGTTCTTTATTCAACGCTAAAATTTGTTAGTCTTTCCAAGATATTTTCTCATTATCAGAAATCTTGACCTGCAGCATAAATTTAAAAAATGTGCGTTTCTACTTCCACTACTATAGGCAACTTTCATCACTTGTATAGCTCGAAAAAACTAACGTCTTATAGGCAGAAGACTGTTATATTGTACCAGATCAAAAGTCGAGATTAAGTTATTAGTTATATTTCTAATGATTTTTATGGTCACCGAATTACATGCGTCAAACTTAAATGAATAAGTCACTTCATAGTTAAAAAATAGATACTAATTTTGATTGATTTGTTTCATTGAAGCGAACTGTCTTTCAACGAATTGTCCGTGCGACGAATTGTCCTAGCATCGTTTTGTAGAATGTGAAAAACTGCTTCAATCTATATTATTAATTTTGATATCCAGATTAAAACAAAAAAAAATAACTATACACATTACGATTGTCATCCGAAACACTGAATACCTATACAAAAACCTACAGGCCTCAAAAAAAGGTCAACTCGAAAATCTTTTTCTCTGTTCAAAAAAAACAAAACTAAATTTACCGAAAGGTGTAAAGCTTCAAGCTCTATCTTTCTGTAATATTGAAAATGAAAACTGAGAGCTGGCGGATTTACCATGCAATCCTGTGGTATGCTTTAAATATTTCAGCTTCCGTTAGATTATCAAATGTAACTCCAAAAAATTTCTACACAACCATCGACAGATCATCTATTTTAATATTTTTTCGGAAATCGTTTGCAGCATCTGAAAGATATTAATTTAACATAAGTAAACAAAAAGAAGTCTCTTCAATTGAAAAATTCTTAAAATAAGACTGCATATGAATGTGACTGGGGGTACAGATGTGTGACTGTGATGTGCATGCGAGTCTAATGGGTACTGTGTATCTCGCTCCCGGTGTTGCCCGGCTAACTGCCTCACATGCACCCATAACCAACCTCGCACCGATACCTATATCCACTCCCACGCTCGTGCGTGCCCTTTCGCAATAGCAACTTTCGAGTTGCTAAATATAACTGGAATCTAAAGCATCGCTCGTAAAGATGGTGCAACTCTGATTCAACTTCCCCATCCCAAAAAAAAGACAACGATGAGAATTCTCATCAAAACTAACATCTCAAGAATTTTATTTTTGCAGAAATAAAACATAAAACTACTAAAACCTGTTTCTTAAATTTTCAATGTTTCTTTTCACAACTACCAAATGAGGATGAGTAGAAGGCACCGACTTTCTCAAAATCTCAAGTGATCTTTCTAGCGATGAAAGTGCTTTCGAGTACTCGCCCATGTGAAAATACACCATAGCGATGTTGTTGTAGGAAGTAGCCAAGTCGGGATGATTCGGAGGGAGAGATATTTTGAAGATTTCAAGTGACCTTTCGTACGATGAAAGTGCTTTCGAGTACTCGCCCATGTTATCATACACCATAGCGATGTTGTTGTAGGATTGAGCAAAGTCGGGATGATTCGGAGGGAGAGCTATTTTCCGGATTTCAAGTGATGTTTCGTACGATGAAAGTGCTTTCGAGTACTGGCCCATGTGAGAATACACCATAGCGATGTTGTTGTAGGAAGTAGCCAAGTCGGGATGATTCGGAGGGAGAGCTACTTTTCGGATTTCAAGTGATCTTTCGTATGATGAAAATGCTTTCGAGTACTCGCCCATGTGAAAATACACTGAAGCGATGTTGTTGTAGGATTGAGCAAAGTCGGGATGATTCGGAGGGAGAGCTATTTT